ATCGAAATATCGTCTTCACAGTGTGACATGTAAACGTGGTAATACATTAAAACCAAAACGGGCCTAGGATTAACCGGGGTATACAGGTTAAAGTTAATATATTTAAAGTGTTCAAAGTGCAGTTTCAGTGCAAGTCAGTTGAAACGATCTTAAGATTGGCGTGACGTTAAGTCGTGCGACCCTGCTGCTGTACTGGCTTGTAGTTCGTTTATAGCATAACGTTAGCATTTCGCTTTTGGCGACTAAGATTTATGATACCCCCCCCCCGCAAAAAATATAAAAAGTAGCTGTTGACATGTGGAGATTATCCGGCCTGAAAACCAAAACGTGATCCCTCTCTTAAATGTGTGTCAACCACCAGACGTTATTTCCGAGGCTATTTTAAAATCCTATGGAGAATTTGCATTGATTTTTCGCGAAGGAACCGGAAGAAGTTTACTTCCGGGTTTTACGACGCGTCACTGCGGTTCTCTATTGCTACTCAAGCTAAATATATCAAATACTTCGCCACCCAGTGGTTGTTTTTGCCTAGACATTTTAGAAGGACTTGTATTTTGAAATGTAGACATGACACCGGAAGCGGATGTGCAGCACGGAATCTTATCAGAGACGGACCGTCAGTCTGTAGGAAAGCTAGCGAAACGTTTACACGGAAGGGAGACTTTAGTTGGGTTAAAAGTCCAACTGACTCTATATTTGGTTATTTTTGTTGCTTAAAACATGTCCGGCAGACTGGCAGATACACTGGGTTGAGTTTTTAATGTGACTGAATAAAAATGGAAGCAAGGTTTAGCAGCGAAGTGGCGTCCATAGTCGAAGTCGCTATCCAGGCGGCCTTGTATGTGTTCAGGGATGTCTGGGCCAAAGAGGCGCCGAACTCGCAGTTGGAAGAGGCGAAGTCCGGAGAAATCCTGGAGATAGAGAAGTGTCTGGTGCTCCAGATCCACAAGGTGTTCACTGAGTACTCCTCGGAGCTGTTCGAGGAGAACGAGGCTCTGCGGGCCAAGATGGAGCAGCTGGAGGACGTGCTGCAGAAGAAAGCCGGGCAGCTGGAGCAGGAATTGGAGGCCAGAGTCGGGCAGCTGGGCAAAGATATGGAGGAGCTGGAGCAGGAGCTGAAGAGCATCAGTGACGTCGGCAGCAAGACCCCGGGAGGACCGACCCTCCTCCTGGTGCAGGACGCCTCTCTGATAGGTGAGGGACAGCTGTTAATCAGCCCGTCAATCACTTTGATGGCCACCTGAGAGCTCAACTGTCCTCAGATTGAGTTCTAATGTTATTTGTATACATACCAAGGTTAAAATACACACACTGTGGGCTGGGAATATGTTTGGGGCTCAGTGGGGGAATGTAACTAACTAAGTACATTTACTCAATACTAACTTGTTGTTGCTTTTAAATGTTACTTTAGAATGTTCTGTTAGTTCTACTGGTACTCCACTATTCATATCTGACAATTATGTTTCCTTACAAACAAATTTTTAGTATATCTATTATGTGAGGATTTGCTGCTTTTCTTATTTGTTATTGAAATATATACACGTCGTTTCTACTTGAGAACATTTTCCTGAACTACACAACAATCCAAGACTTTTACTTATGACAAAGTAATTTAGCCTGGTATTAGTAGGCTACTTTACTTCCCCCGTAGGTGGTGTTAACCTTTAAACTAGAACGTGCATTTATTATAATGGAGGATTTATTGTTTAGTCTAAAAAAGGTTATTACAATTCCCTGACAAAAAGTCAGATTGTATTTTGTGTGACAGGCAGCCCTTACCCTAGAGATGTTTCATTTCTAATGATGGGGACAATTATGAATCACTATATTTAAGAAATTGGGACTACTAAATATTTGGCATTTTGCTCCAATAAGTACAACTTGCTTTGTTTTCTGTGCCACAGATTTGATTTGGATAAATCCTTCTTTTGATTTCTGCTTGTTCTAAACACATTTCCCATGACACGGTGAAGGATACTAATAACAGTTGATGTTGTGTCTGTCAGGAGCCCCGGTGGTGTCGGTCTCCAGCAGCCCTGCTGCGCCGTTGGTGGCTGTGAAGGAACCTTCCTCTACCCCCCCTCCAGTTTCAGCAGTCAGCTCCACCGCTGCCCCTGTGTCCGTCTCTGAGCCTGAGCCTGCCCCCGTGGTGTCTGCTGGTGGCCCCCCCGCAGTACTGTTGGTGGGGGCCAGCCAAGTGGTCCCCCAGCTCCCTGCACCACCTACGACTGTCTCTGAATCAGCGCTCCTCCTCAAAGCAGCGGCGTCGACGCCTCAACAAACCCCCCCCTCAGACTCAGCACAGGACAAGGTGGGCTGTTTCTGATGTTTTTTTATTTAACTCCTAGATTCAATTCATAAAGAGTTTAAACATACAATCATAACACTAAATGTGAAATAGAAAAAGCTGATAAACTATTTGAAGCTTGAGATTAGGGTAGACTAAACAGAAAGTATTTACAATATACGTTGGCAACATATGTAGAATTGAAAGAGTGAATGTACTATACGGAACTATTAGCAGCTGACAAACACCCTACTAACAAAATCCCTTCAAACTAAGCTAATCTTACCCTAAATACTAAATGGTCCCAAAATATTCATTTATCAGTCTGAAAATTGGCTTAAAAATAGGTAGGATATAATAAACATGGATATATTACAAAGGAAAGATTTTTTTACAAATTGTATACATTTCAGAATAACTTGTTTAGAAGTCCCCAGACATTAAATGTATTCAGGCAGATACAAAAAAATGTTACAGCATTATCGTTCCATACCTGAGGACCCTGCACACCACACTAATGTTATAACATGTACATTTTTTACACTTTTTTAATATGTATTTTCTGTGTCTGTACGCAACAATGTCTTTAAACTCTATTTTGAGATCATTTGTATTTACAAAATATGAGAATACACTTAAATCAACCCAGCCCAACTGTCATATCCATGTGGAGCTAGATTCTTGCTAGTTAAAAACTCTTTGCACCAACATAAGAAATGCCTCTCTCACTCGCTTAATGCTACGCACAGGAGCACGGCAGCTCCCCAAAAGTGAAGCCCAAACATCCCCCTATTGACTGGCGGAGCGCTTGATTTGATGCAGCTGGGTTTTCTATGGGTGGAGCACACATGACCATGATCATTTGTTTTGGCTAGCTAATAATGCAGCTCTAATCTCAGTTGTGTTTATTCCCCAATGTTGTGGATATACAGTATGTAACGTTTATGATCAAATATTCAAATCAAATGACCTTCTTATTCATTACAGAAATCTGTGGAAGAGGCACCTTCAGGCAGAACGAGGAGGACGAGGAGAGCCACTTATAAGACTGAAGAAGGTGAGAATAGGGTTCAGTGTTGCTTCTTACAGGTTTGGGACCATAGCATTAACATCTGGGAAGGCACTTGAATAGGTAGAGGATACAATCCAGTGCATGACATTAAGGACATTAAGGACATTAAGGATAGCTTAGATGGCACACAAAATGGCGACGTCAGAGTTCCTGTTAGCCGGCAAATCTAAATCTCTTCGGTCAAAATAATTTCCCTTTAGCGCAATACCGCGTCAGTTACGCCACTTCTGTGACAGACAAGAATAGTATGTGACTGACAAGAATAGTCAATTCTAATGTCTAACACTTAATGTGGAGAAAGAGATGTCCTGTATGGGTTGATTGTGCGTTGATCTGTTGGTAATGCCTCGGGGTTCCGGTGGGCATGTAAACAAATGCATAATGCTGCGCTATACTTTGTGGCCTCACCCAGTTGCATAGCGACACTTATTGTTTAGGTGTCTTTTAATAAGCAGGTAGTTCTATCATTAGCTAGAACTAGCTGGATCTGATCGATATGGACATAAACGCGAGTGAAGTCTAATCTGACTGGGAGAGAGAGATCAGCGCACTGCTGACGAGTCGACACGCAGCTCTGCATGATCACATGCAGCGGTGAGCGGACAAAACACACACTTCAGGTTAGAATATCACACGTAGCTATTTTAATTACCTCTCAAACTACCTAAACTAGTTATAGATATATTTAGTTTTACTGTCGGGTCACTCATTACTGGATCCGCGAGCTGCATGATACTGGCATAATAGATTGCCCGATCGGGCAACCAGCAGGTGAGGCTTCATGGCCCGAGCTAAATACTAGATGGCCCCGGGCCATCGGGCAGTGCTTAATGTCGAGCCCTGCAATCTTATTTAAAAGTAGAGGCCTCTTAAAATAAGATCTCTAATTTTGTAACTTTTCTTCTCTTTATTTGAAGCTTCCACTGACAACAGCGTCGAAGAGAAGAAAACCAACTCAAGTGGAGAGCCGGGAAAAAGGCTTAAAAGAAAAGAGACAGCAACGCGGTTTCCCTGTGAACATTGTGACGCAGGTTTTAATTGGAAAGGTGAATTAAAGAAACACATGAAGGTCCACAAGAAGCCTTTCCCTTGCGAGCAGTGTGGCAGGAGCTTCCTCGAAAAGAAGTCTCTGGAAAATCACCTTTTGCGCCACGAGGCAAGCAAAGCCCCCCTGCCCTTCCCCTGCCCTCAGTGTAAGAGGTCGTACCGGAGAGAGGAGTCGCTCCAGAACCACCTCAAGCATCACGAGCGCTCCAAACCGCCCAAGCCCTTCGCCTGCGATCAGTGTGGCAAAACATTCAGAATCCAGCGCTCTCTGGAAAACCACCTGCTGCGCCACGACAAATGGAAGCAGATGTTGAAGTGCCATCTTTGTGACAAGACGTGCAAGACATCGGTCCAGCTGAGGTGTCACATGGCCGTGCACTCGGAGGAGAGACCGTTCAGCTGCGCCACCTGCGGGAAGGAGTTCAAGAGCAAAGACACCCTCCGCTTCCACCAGATGGTTCACTCCAACTCTAAAAAATACAAGTGCACAATGTGCGAGGAGACATTCAAATACGCCCACTCCCTGACCGTGCATAAGAGGAAACACACAGGCGTCACCCCTTTCACATGCACCGTGTGCAACAGGTCCTACAGGACGGGCACGGCTCTGAAGAGACACAGCGTGGTCCACACCGGGGAGAAGCCCTTCACCTGTCACATCTGTGGAGCCAGGTTCAGCCTGAACAACAACCTGAAGAGGCACCTGCGCATCCACACCGGGGAGAAGCCCTTCACCTGCTCCGAGTGCGGGAAGAGCTTCTCCGACAACAACAAGCTCAAGGCCCACATGCTCATCCACGGAGCCAGGAAGCCTTTCATGTGCGATCTGTGCGGGAAGACCTTCCTCTTCAACTGCCGGCTGCTGATCCATCAGAAGTACGTGCACGCTGACAGGAACGAGGACACGGACAGCACGCAAAGGTTTCTGCAGAATAGAAAGAGAAACAAGTCCTTGATTAAACCATTCAGCTGCAAAGTATGTCTCAGAGGTTTCAGCGCCGCGTGTTCCCTCAAACTCCACGAGAGAGGCCACAGCGAGAACAAGGAGTTCAACTGCGGCATTTGTGGGAAGGCTTTCCACAACAAGTACTCTTTCGGGTATCACCAGAGAAGCCACGCGGGGGAGAAGCCCTTCGTCTGTGACGTGTGCGGGAAGAGGTTTTTCCACACTGGCAGCCTGAAGCAGCACGAGCGGATTCACACGGGCGAGAAGCCGTACAAATGCGACCAGTGCGACAAGACCTTCAGAACAGACGGAAACTTCTACAGACACTTGAGGATCCACACAGGCGAGAAGCAGTTTGAATGTTTGTACTGTCACAAGAAGTTCCACCAGTCCAACCAGCTCAAGTCCCACATGCAGGTCCACACCGGGGAGAAGCTGTACTCCTGCCAGCAGTGTGGCCGCGGCTTCTCCGATTCAAGGCAGCTCAAGAAGCACAGCTGTGACGGGTCCTAGGGGAGGGAATGGGGAACAATCTGGAAGAACGCTTGACTGAGTAACAAATGGGTTAATATAATATATTCACAAATGAACAGCCATTTGTTGTGTAATGGAACTGAGATGACTTGGCCCAGTGCATTTATGCTCAATTATTGCTTTACAAAAAACATCTTTAAAATCTGTTTTTGGAGCTTTTACAATTCGATGAATCAACATACTTTTTAGTGACAGATAAATGTATTAGGGAGACATGCAAAAAGATACACAAGATAGCTTCATAGTAGCAAAGGGATGCTTGGTTTATTATAAACTGAATGCTTTTGTCTGTTGATCCACTTAAGTGTTTAACACTTCAGCGTTACTCATGTTTCATTACCCTTAATATGCTAAAGTTAAGGGATTCATCTAAAATCATTAAAACAGTGAATGAGAGTTAATGTACTGGCAGCTCTACTTTTATTCAGAGATTTACAGTAAAGGTTGGCTACATTATTTTTGGCATTATTAGTTTTAAGAAACTTGTGTTTGTCCTGTGTAAAAACACAAAGATAAACATATGAAACCACAAATATAGGTTTTGCGTTTGGATGATTTAAAGGAATTTTAGACTAAAAACACCAGCCTCAGAATTTCAAGTGTGTTTTAGGACTTAGTTATTTTTAGCAGCTGAAATTGTTTATTTTCTCCAGTTGAGTGCATTTTTGAATGACATTCTGTTTTTTAAAGATTTCTATAATTTATGTTTTGTTCATTAATGAAAATCCATACAATGACGTTAAGATGTGTTTATTTTTCAACAAAAACAACACATTGTAAAATGACGGGCTTATGTCAATGATATGTATTATGGCAGTGTGTATATTTCTTTTTGTTTGTTATTGAATTAAAAGAGCATTCTTTTGAGAGTTTTATTTTGAAATATATTTACCTTCTCTACTTCCATTTCCGGAATCGTTGCGGCTCTCCCCTATCTGCGTTTTTGTTTTTGTCGGCTGCTAACTTTAAATGCGAACATGTCAGAGAACTTGGTGTTTTATGCAGAAATAAAGTCCATCTTGGAGACAGTCATTAGGACCTCTGTTGATATTGGACATTCTAAAGAAAAAACCTCCACGAAAGGGGCTACCATGAGACGGGAGGTGAGTTAACGGTTAATATTACCGCTCTGCTGTCGGGGAGCATCACATACACATTACTGCGGACACCAGACAGGAGGGATCAGAAACACTAGCTGGGGGAGATTGGACCGCCGGAATAAAACCAAGCAGAAGGACAGGTTAACACCAAGAGCAACAAAGATGGCGGACTTATCACGAAGAAAGCTAGCTAGCTACACATGTCTATCCGGAAAAATAAAGTGTATTATCACCTTATAACTTTAAGTCACATAATCACTTGTGCAGGCTCTTAATATAGGTTAAAAATAATGAAATACATTTCTTATTTTATTTCAAATCAAAAAGCGTATGCTGAACAATACGGTGCGTCACTGCTGTCCAGTGACTCGGAGATTGGATTGACGGTAGATTAAACCTGTCTACTCTTTGCCAAACTCCGCCCTGGATTTATAATTTGTACAGTAGGCCTACTGGAATGTAATGTAATGTATTTACTCAAGGACTGTGCTTAAGTAATTGTACTTTACTTATTTAGGTTTCGTTTTTGGCAACTTCATATCACTACATTTTGGAATTATTACATTATTATTAAAGCATAGGCTGTGAATTAAATGAATAAATCGTGTTGTAATAACGGATTAGCTGCAACATAAATTAAACCAATAAATGATACTAACTGATGGCATTGATTGCAAATGAATCATAATCCCGATTCCCGTGATATATTTGTTTCTCCTGAAATTGGTTATTCTTATTTTATATTACAACGTTCTAAATATTCCAGCAATCAATATCTGTAATTTTAAATAAACCTCTCGGTGATGATTTATTAATCATTTTCTTCCTCCACATCTAATCCAAACGTCTACAAAATTCTACATGAAAATATAATTTATTCTCACCTGGACAGTAGTGCAAAGTAACTAAGTACATTTACTTAAGAACAATATTGATGTTTCTGCACTATACTTTGGTCATTTTGTACTTATTTGTACCTACTAACTGTCGTCAAAAGATTTCAGTAGATATTATCAGCATTTGACTTATTACAATACTCATCCACTTTTAAGATCCATTTCCGCCTCATTGGCTCATCTTCCTAAATAAGATTCTTATATAGCAAATAAACAATTTAACCAAACATTGCTTTATTCATTTTAATGTTATTCTGTTAATAATGTTCAGTTACATTTTTTACAAATGAATAAATTGTGCTTAAGTTTTGTATAGTTATGTAGTTATGGTGGGCCATCAGTTTAAACCTTATTAGGCCAAATAAACTCTACATTGTAATGTATTTGTTCTAAATGATACTGCAGTTATACCACCAGTTGATATTACAACGTTTGCATGTGAATAAGCAGTTGGTAAATAAGCATCAGATGCTTTATCTAACAGCTCATTTATAGAACACACTGTTGACTTCTTTATTTGAATCCTGACAGCCAGATTTTGACACCGTTGTGGAAATGTTGGCACGGGAGGCAACGAGAAAGATCGACGCCGTTTTCTCCCAACTGTCCTCAACACTGCACAACGAGAACCAGACCCTGCAGGCCAGAGTGGGGGGGCTGCAGAGCGAGCTGAAGACCACCCAGGAGAACTTTGAGAACGCCAGGATGTGGAGAGAACACGTCCTGAGCGGCAGCCCCGTCCTGTTCCAGCAGAGCGGCCTCGTCTACACCCTGAAGCCTTCTGGGAAGTTGAAAACTAGAACAGATCAATTGACCGGGGACGGCCCAGAGACTGGACATGATGGTAGGTTTTCATTAAAGGACAACAATCCACTAGAAAACACTAACTTCTACATTTATCATAATCATGATGGAGAATCAAAGCTAAAATGGGATGTAGAAAAAGCACATGGAGGGGAAGTGGGCTCCTTAGAATGGAACACTTTACATGAACACAACCATAACTTACTTCCTGTGATTAGATTCAGATACATTAGGTTCCTGATGTTAAGCTGGCATCAATGTCAATGATAATATATATACTGATTTATTTGATGGAAGATAGTTGAACTGTAATGCAGAACATGTCAACAAAAGATGGAAGTTCTGGCAAAATGATCCTGTGAAATGTCCCTTTCTTTTTTAAATCTCTATTTAAAAAGACATAACACCTATGCATAAAACACAGAAAAGGAGGAAGACCTTATATTTAGCAGGTAACATGATCACAATAATAATCAAAGAATAAAATGAGCGTATCAATTAAAGCAAAAACGCTTCAAAAACCTACAGTCCTCTACTTTTCAAGATATATGCTCTTTTTTTTTTTTTAAACAGTCCGTCCCTCTCAGCATAAAATGTTGCTCCAAACTTCATCAAATGTTGTCCTTGTTTTATGAGAAGAGAAGTCATGACACCATATTGATGCAAAGGATCTAGTTTGAAGCAAAGTTTGACCCAGACAGTAAATGAGTGTTATTATAAACCAGAAAATAAAATGTTCAGTATTAAGTGACTCTGTCTTTGATGCTTTATTCTTCTGTTCATTTCTTGTGAAGAAGGTGAAGAAGCAGCAAAGGAAGTGAATTCTGAAGCTGAGTCCTCAGTGGCTATTGGACAAGGTAACATTTGAAATTGTTATTGTCAGAGAAAAGCATATTATCACCGGGAATAAAACAAAAAGTAAACACATAAAAACAAAAAGTGTAAATGGAATGCTATGTGCGGCTTTGACACTTTACAGTAGTATCTACATTTGAAAATGAAATTGAGAAGTTAATTAGGGCAAACAATGCTTTATTTGGCAGAATGTCCCCTTTAATCGAATAAATCCCACTGTTTGCTTCGCTAACTCTTGTTTATTAACATTTATCTTTTCCTCTCTTGTGTAGACATTAAAGAGGATTCTTCCACAACCAACACGGCAGAATCCAAAACCCCTGAGAGCCAGAACACACAGGAAGCTGGAGTGAGAGGAAAAGGGAAGCAGTTTGTATGTGAGGTCTGTACCAAGAGCTTCAGCCGGCAGTTCCACCTGATGAAGCACAGGAACACTCACCAGGAGCAGAGGCCTTTCTCCTGCGACCAGTGCCCCAGGAGGTTCAGGAACACGGAGACGTTCGAGTACCACCTGCTGCGGCACGAGGAGAGGAAGTACGCCACCCTGAAGTGCCCGCTCTGTGAGAAGATGTTCAAAACTCAAATGCACTTGAAGACTCACCAGATGGTGCACACGGACACGAGGCAATTCACCTGCTCCACCTGCGAGAAGGCCTTCAAAACTAAACACGGCCTCCAGGCTCACCAGGTCGTTCACTCTGCTGAGAAACCGCACAAATGCTCCGAGTGCGGAGAGGGCTTCAGGTACGCCTTCACGCTGCAGTGCCATCAGAGCATTCACACTGGGGAGCATCCCTTCAAATGCACAGTGTGTGGCAAAGCTTTTATAAAGAGGAGGTCGCTCAGCGCACACCAGCGGGGCCACAGGGGGAAAATGTTCACATGTGAGACGTGTGGAGCGGGGTTCACTCTGCAGCACAACCTGAGGAGACACGTTCGTATCCACACCGGAGAGAAACCCTTCAAATGTAAAGTCTGTGGGAAGAGCTTCATTCAGGACAACAGGCTCAAATCACACATGCTTCTTCACGGTGCCTCAAAGTCCTTCATGTGTGACCTCTGTGGGAAGACCTTTCTGTACAACTGCCAGCTGCAGAAACACCAGAAAGCGACTCACGATGAAAGGCACGGGCAGGTCGTCACGAGGCGCACTCGAGAGAAAGGGAACCGCAGAGTGATCTACAGACGGGACAGAACCTCGGTGGACGTGACGCCCTTCAGCTGCAAGACCTGCCGCAAGGGCTTCGACTCGGCCGGTGCCCTGAGGAGACACGAGCAGATTCACACCGGGCAGAGGCAGCACACATGCCCCACATGCGGAAAGTCCTTTTTCTACAAAGCCACGTACGACTACCATCAGCGGATCCATACAGGAGAACGTCCGTTCGGTTGTGACGTGTGCGGGAAGAGGTTCATCATCCCTCAGGCCCTCAAGTCCCACAAACTGCAGCACTCCGGAGAGAAACCTCATAAATGTGAGCAGTGCGACAAGGCCTTCAGGATCTACACCAACCTGCTCCGACACATGAGGGTCCACACGGGGGAGAAGCCCTACGAGTGTGAGGTATGCAGGGTGAGATTCAGGCAGCTGGGACACGTGAAGTTTCACATGCAGGTCCACACCAGAGAGAGGCCGTACTCCTGCAGCAGCTGTGGACTCGGGTTTTCAGACTCAAGGCTGCTAAAGAGACACACCTGTGCTGAGAAACACCAGAACACTTCAGGGAACTCACTTGCTACGTCCTAAAAACAGAGCACGTCATTTTTCTTACTTACAGTGTGATTTCCTTCAGGATAAAAACCCAGTAATAAAATGTATTGGATATTTAAATAAATACAAGGGTAAAACCTGCATATATTGCACAACTTGGAGTGTTAGCTGAATTTATTGGTTGTGATATGGGATTTTATTTGTTCTGCCTAAAGAAAATCCTTTTTAAATGTTGTTCAGGAGTGTCAGCAGCAAAATCAGACCGTGAAGAGAAAGCTTGAAGTGTGTGATCAAATCAAGATACAGCCAACAGATTAACCTAAGTAATATTATTTTAAATAAAGGTTGTTTAAAATGATATGATTAGTCTTTAATTGCAAAACAGCAAAGCTCTTTGAAAAAAAAATGATGTCATGATGAAAAATGAATCAAGACGTTGATTTTTTAGAGTAAATGATTCAAACCTGATAGCTAGAGGGAAACCAACAATCACACTGTACAAAGCAAATCAGATGTTTGTTTCCTTAATACATGTAAATACAAAATGTTGGAGTTTATTTTGAAAGTAATAACCGGAATATCTCCATACTGATGACACTGTAATTGTTTGTCATCTACTCTGGTAATGATTGGGTTAAAGTTCCTCACTGTGACCACCGAAGGACAGTAAACACCAACCCTCACTTTAACCTTTAACTCCTTGACTTTAATAACATATTTTCTAACTAACTATAAAAAAAAACACTGAAAAAGCCAGGGTTGTTTGTATTTGTTATTATTGTGTGACATAAAGGGTTGCCTTATAGCACGGGTGTCCAAACTACAAATGCGGCCCGCGGACCATTTTGAATCGGCCCTCAGCGAATTCTAAAAGTATAATGTAATACGGCCCACAGATGAAACTTGTGCTTGTCTTATATTGTACTTCTTAAATACATATGTCAACATATATTACACAGTAGTATTCATGTGTTAATAAGCCCGCTTTTCAAATAAATTAATTCAATTAAAGTTGGAAACATTTTCTAACATCTTATTTGATAAAAAAGGGACAATAACTTATTGACCTAACAAGCTTGAAATCTACCCTTCATATTTCCCCTTATTATAAGCAAACTGAGGAGTGAGCTGCCAACTAAATAAATGAAACCCTAAGGAGAGCTGTGATATCCTCCTGGGACCCAGCCCATTGAAAATGTCCACTGTAGTGGACATTTTGTTAACATGCATCTCCTTTTACTCTTTTGAGCTACTCTATCAATCCCTGATGTACTGTACAGAGGACATCCTGGTCTTTCCAGTGATATGTCATTGGTTAAAATTGCATGCTGGGAAGTTCCTCTTTCTTTTCATCCAAAATGGCTGGCATACCAAAAACAAAATGTTATAGAAGCAGGAGGAGAAGTCAAATATTGTTGAATAATTGTAGTGTTTACCATGAAAAATCATATATATTCTGTTTATTAACAGTGGGAACTATATAATTGTTCTGAAAGCAAGTAAATAATTCAAGTTTTCAAATAACAGCCCTTTATAAATGGTCCATTCTAGTGGACGTCAGGACCCTGAGGAATGATCCGTGTTAATGAGCTCCACACTTCCCCATTCCGAAACATACTGTTCAAGATGAATACAATGTCGCCTGGCTTTGGCTATATTTAGAAACATTCATGGACTTAATGACTCAATATTGTTGCAGGAGACGGAACCTGAAGCAGACATTTTCTGATACCAGATAGTTAAGGGAGATTCAGATGTTGAGCTCTGATTATGAGAGAGATGAGGATTTCACACCTGGGATAGAAGAGGGTCCAAGAAGAAGTGGGGAAAGATGCAGGAGGCTCCATGGAGCCGCACAGATACAGACAGAGAGGACAGATGGGACGAGCTGGAAAGACATGCTTATGTGGTTTTTATTTTAAGTGGAGCCATGAAAAAATTAGAATTGCCTCAAGGAATGCAAGCTTTGTTTCTATGAGAATTGGTCAAATGGAGACCCACATCCATAAAACTAGTCCAAGATGACCCTTACAGCCGTGCCCGACTGGAGTCAATGAGGTACTTTTCCCATTACATTGAATACAAAAGTCTTTGAAGATCCGGAAAGATTCACCAAAACACCAAACTAGTTTTTTAGTGGGCAAATAAACAGCAATGTTCAGGTCAATTAACTTAGATTAAAGCTGAAATGTATTACTTATATTATATTATTATCACCTCTATAAGACTATAACCATAATACGTTACATAGTCTATCTCAGGGGACGTGCCACAGGGTACGGGGCTCAATGTTGTCCGGGCAATGGGCCCGTTTGGCCTTTCTGGCTGAACCTGCCCCTCTGGAGAGAGAGCGAGAGTTTGTTTTTCTTTTTTCTGTTGTGGCCGAATCAACATGATAAGGCCACATTAGTATGTGTAGTGTCTCGCTGCAAGGCGATACATGCTTTGTCAGCGCTGTCATCTGCCGGTGCGTTAAAGACAACCTCAGTGGTCGGATTTTGGAACTTGCTTTTGAGTTCGTCTCATGGCAGTTTAGGGTAGGGACAAACCAGGGGATTTTACTTCCTCTTGGTAGCGTCGGTTATTTCGAAAAACACACCTAATATAGCCCTTACTTGTTATTGTGCTTCTGTCTTTCTGGAGTCTTTTCACTGTAATCGTCCCTCAACGGGGCCGCTCGCTCTCTTTTCTTGATTGCCCTCTCAGGGTGAACAGTTCAATGTCCCCGCTTCATTGTAGGATTTCTGCCATGTCTCCTACTTTAGTTTGACCATCTCTGTTCCTAAGTTATGGATACTACATAAATAAAGTCATTAGAATCACCTTACGGTTAAGGCGCTCATAAAACGAATGAATAAGAATGGGAATAATGCGTATTGAAACTTGGTTTCATTAATTAGTGTAGTTCTATTTAAGTATTAGTTAGAAGGCCCTAGTATATGTGATTTCAGTAGTTTGTCTGCTATCAGTAGGTTGTCTGACCAAAAGATCGGATACTACATAGAATTCAGTGCATCTGCTCACCCATGTTGATCTTAAATGAGTTACAGTAACATTTATATTTTTAATGAATATGGACCGCAAAACATTTTGTAAAACAAGTCCACGATGCAAGTAGTCGCCTTAGCTGTATTTTGTTCAGAGCATGTGATACTGTTCAATTTAGCTTGTAATAATCGTTTGCGTTTCTGTTTACATTAAAACAAGTTACAATTTTCAAGAGGTCTTATGGTTTTTTTTCGGGGGAAGCCCTTTTCCAGTTTTAGAGCAATAGCCCCTCCCAAATGTCTGTGCACCGTCCTGCCTAGTCGTTAATTTGGCTGTCTTTTCAAAACTAAAATTGGTCCCGACGTCCCTACAGTGGACATACTTAACATTTGTAAATTAAAATAATAAAACGTCTAGAATTGCAGAGTTTTTTTTTAACCCTAAATAGGGTATCATAATATACGTAAATGGCTGCCCGACGTCCTTCCACCGTGGACAATTACTGGTACATTTTAAAAACTGAAGAAAGTTAAATAAAAGGTTAAATTGCAGAGGTTTTTTTTTAAACCCCTGAAATAGGTACGGAAATCACAAAAAAAGGGGAAGTGTGGAATGTTTTTTTCTTAAGGCCATTTTCAAGATCAAGCATAATTGATACCTACATTTTGATTAATTTGGTCTGGACTTATAACTTAACTTTATGAGGCAATATAACTCGTCTCTAGTGAGTGGCCCGCCGCTCTCAATAGTTGTATGCTGTATGTGGCCCCGGGTGAAAAAAGTCGGTGGACCACCCTACCTTGTAGTTTTCAATGTGACCGTCTGAAGGACTAAACTGTATTA